GCCAATTGTGCGTGCAGCTAGTGGTAGTGCTCGTGCCACACTGCGTATGATGAATGTCGCGCTTAGTACTCGGATAATTGCCTTCACAGCTGATTTACGGCTCCGATTTCGAAGGGGGCCTATTAATGCGGCGGTTGGGCTAATGACGAACTCAACTTTCGGGCCAATTAATTTGGCATCGCTTCACGGGACGCCGCAAGGTATGCAAAATCAATTTCCACTTCAAAACCGAGGGAGGGGCAACATTTCAATCGGTTTGTGTACTGCCAGCGATTTACATTAAGTCAAGACAATGCCCGGGGTGTGGGCTGGTGTGAAGCCACTCAGAAGTTGGCAAACAGACCTTTAACTTTGTATCAAAGGTGTAAAATTTCATAAAGTGTCGTTGGCATGCCCAAAATCAAATGCAAACAAAGCCGCTGAAACGTTTTAGGGCTTTGCTCGCCGTATTTGAGGCATCCACCCACGCATTTGGGCGTAGACAGGCATAAATTCTCGGATCCCAGACGGAGTTCGTGCTGGGAGGCTGCCTAAAGGATTATAAGTTGGCGAGAGTGTCCTTGAGGCAGGAGCACCCCCAGACTTTTGGGGCTATGTGTGTGGGCGTGGCAGCGGCATTGGAAGCGGGCTTATTGCCCGAAAAGCGAAACCCAAAGCCCCGAAAATGTATGGCCGAGGCGGAGGGCAATATGCATAACTTATAGCAGATCCTGTGAAGTTGAGTGAGCAGTCAAAGCAGCGGGGAGCATCGAAGGGTCCTCGTTTGCAGCCGAATGGGCTGGAGATTGGCATATCCATGCTGAATGCGGAATCTCTGCCAGGCCCTCAATAAATAAGCCATTTTCCGGTGCAGGCAACAAAGTGCAATTTCAATTAGGCCTGTAGGCCATGGCATTGTCAGTAAAAGCCCCTATGCAGATTCTGGGAAAAGTGATTAAACAAATCGATAGGTTGGGCTTAAGCCATAGGTGAAGCGACTGTGGGATACCTCTTACGTTATGTAAGACCCATTTAAAGATCTTATACCGTTTTGAAACTTATTCGATTTAAGCAAAAGAGTCTAAAGTTGTGAAGTTTTTCATAAAGATTTACTTTCAACTTAAAATTTAAGCTTAAAAAATAAACAGCGCCAAATATTATTACATTATTAGCACGTGGAATTGCTTTTTCATATTAAACTTAACACGGGAAATGAAGTACAAGCTCAAACTACTTCCCATTGAATGATAACACCGAATCTTGAGAAGAGTAGGAGCACGCTCTTTGCAATTGTGCTAGCAGCACGCACCATCTGCAGCCATTTTTATCTTTCAAATTATCGAACTTTAAAACGCCATGTCCCAGGACATCCCCACCCATATGTCTGCATTCGGCTGGGCTTGCTGGCAGAATACCAAACGACCGCTTTTGTTTCCTCGCAGGCCCTGCTGACCCCTGACCCCTGACCCCGCACCGGACATGGTTTACCCGGGTGACACGTCGGACGCCAACCACGAGGAGCTGGCGCTGGAGAGCACAGTTGCACATGGCAATATCAACGGCAATGGAAGTGGCAACTCGGCCGGAGCAGCAGCCACTCCCAACGGAGACAACAAGGTCAATCAGCGCCAGTACGAGCCACGCGAACGCTTCATTATCACCAAAAATGTGGTCGTGATAGGCCTGGCCTTCATGATTCATTTCACGGCCTTCCACGGCACGTCGAATCTGCAGAGCTCTGTGAACGCGGACAAAGCCCTGGGAACCACCACTTTGGCCGTCATCTACGGCTCGCTGATACTGTCCAACATATTCCTGCCGATGACCGTGATTAGGTGAGTGGACAATGCAATCGGTTCGGGTTTTGTGTTTCGGCGGCGAGCTATTAAGTCCGCACTTAAAAGGGGGCTTAACAAAGAAATAGTCGTTCTTTTGTGCCACACGCACTTGCTAGGATATCTATCTCTCGTGATGCAACCTCCATATGTATCTGTTAAGTTAAAGTAAAACCATTTAGTCAATGTAGAATACTAAATTCTGTAGTGCAATAGGTTCCCAAATACTTGACGTATGCTCGATGAATTCAGAATAGGCTTTAGTTCATACCAATGTTGCACACGATGGATAAAGAACAATAGAAACGCCACTCGAATATAGCCTCTTAGCATAATTGCCAATTTTTGTTTGGCATTTCCTTGTTTCCCGAGAGGGTGAAGCACACTCTGCGACGTGTGGCGTGCCATAAAAGTTTCGGTGATTGTGTGGCGGCGTTTTTTATGGGGATTTTATGCAGATGTGACAACGCCGAGAGCGCAGTCAGCAGACGCCCCCAAAAGTGTGACTCGCAGCGTATTTGGCTGTAAAAATGTCAACAGGAAGTCCTTGGATTAGCACAGCTATCCAGCTATCCCTGGATGGCATCCAGCTACTTTATTCAACCGATATCCCTATTTCCGAATGGACCCCATTTCGGGGCGGCAGGCACCCACGTCTGACATTTAAACAAATCGCTAATTTATAGCGAGCCTCGCTTCACTTGGCTTATTCGGAGCACGAACTGCTGGCGCAGGCAACTTTAATCAGTTAACTCGATTTATTTAGATTTATGGCCTTGGGCCCCGAAATAAATGAGCGCCGCTAAGCATGTGCCACCAGCCACCAGCCACCATCCACTCTTGCCCCATTTCCATGCTCACTGCGTTTGTGTCCCATCAACAGTTGGTTCGGCTGCCGACTGACCATGGCCCTGGCCCTGTTCGCCTACATGCCCTACATCGCCGCCCAGTTCTTCCCGCGCTTCGAGACCCTCATCCCGGCGGCCCTGATGGTGGGCTTCGGCGGGGGCCCGCTGTGGTGCTCCAAGTGCACCTACCTGTCCACCGTCTCGGAGGCACTCACCCAGGTGCGCGGCAGCCAGTCGCGCAAGGACGTGAACACCGTGAAGTTCTTCGGCCTGTTCTTTATCTTCTACCAGATGGCCCAGGTGTGGGGCAACCTGATCTCCTCCTCGGTCCTGACCCTGAGTGCCCCTGCCACCCAGTCGCCGGCCAACCAGAGCCTGGAGCTGGAACTGCAGCGGAACCTGGAGCGCAGCAGGGTGGCCGAGCTGTGCGGCGCCCGCTTTTGTCCCGGAGTTGGCGCCGAGGCCAATCCCAACCTGGTGCCACCTGCTCCCGAGCAGATCCAGCTGCTCAACTCCATCTTCCTCGCCTGCATGGCGGCGGCCGTGGTCATGATGATTTTCGGGGTCAGCTCCCTCAAGCGGTAAGTACTTTTCACTTTCACTTATTTTAAGGTTCAAACTCATCAAATGAATAAAAGAAACAGCCTTATTTTGAATATTGGAATGTTAGAAAAATTTTATCTAAAAATCTTAAATAATAGTGAGTTTGCATGCGAATGAATTTCTTTAGAATATTTATAATTTAAAAGAAAAAAATATTATTATTAATATCTCAAAATTTGGATAATAAATGTCAATTTAAGGAATTTTATTACTTTTGACAGATCCTAACCCATTACATTTTCTAAAGATCTTTATGAAGAAACAATGTGTAAAGTCCAGACCTTATTATTTAATCATTTGATATTTTATCAATTTTATCAATTTTATAACTATATTATTTAATTTGAGCTTAGATAGTTTGGGACACAATTTAAACTGTGATTTAAATCCACAGCTATGGGGTCAAGCGCGGCGACACTGGCGGTGGAATGTCCGGCCTGAAGCTCCTCACGGTGACCATCAACCTGCTGCGCAAGCGCCGCCAGATCCTGATGCTGCCCATCACGATGTTCATCGGTCTGGAGGAGGCCTTCCTCGCCGTGGACTTCACCCGGTCGTTCGTGGCCTGCGGCTGGGGGATCTCGCGGATCGGGTTCGCCATGATCTGCTTTGGAGTGGCCAACGCGGTGGCCGCCGGCATCGCGGGAGCGCTGGTGGAGCGCTTTGGACGGGTCACCCTGGCCGGACTGTGTGCGGTGCTCAATCTCTGTCTGCTCGGCTACATGTACGGCTGGGTGGCGCGGGAGGGCGACTACCGGAGCTACTGCGCCTTCGCCGCCATTTGGGGCATCTGCGACGGAGTCTGGCTGGTGGTGGTCAATGGTGGGTGAATCCACTAAGCTCGGGATTGAACCTGGCTCAAAGTTCCATTTACTTGCAGCTTTTTATGGCATCCTGTTTCCCAACCACCTGATTGCCGCTTATAGCAACTTTCGGCTGTGGGAAAGCACTGGTTCCGTTATCGGCTACGTCATCAGCTCGCAGCTTTGCACCTCCACCAAATTGGTGATTCTAATGGGCGTCATGTTGGTAGGCTGTGTTGGGTGAGTAATTTATTTATTTTGAATTCATTTTATTTTCGATAATGAAACAAAATACAAAATCCTATACAAGAACCAAGATCTATCAGCACAGGTAATGCATAAAAGCTCTTTTTAATAGTTTTGGATGTATGAGCTTTTGCCAGCGTGCTCTTGTTTAACATCTGTTAATAACAGAGTTAAATCCTATAAAGGCAAAACATTTAACGTTTCTGTTAAACAATATTCTTATACCAATACCAAAACTGAACTCAAAAATTTTAAATATTATTTAATTATTGCATACTAGTACCATACAATTTATTTAATAACAAGTTTTAATAAAATAATAATATAATTTTCATTGTTTTTCTTCAACAGATATGGTCTCATCGAATATCGCGTTTGGCAGAAGCAAAAGAGCCTGGAGGTCATGCTAAGTGACTGATACCCGAATAAAAGTTAATCCACAGTCTTGCCATTTACATTTTCGGCTCTGTTTCCAAAAGCCATTTCGATCTAGATATAATTTGTGACTTAACTCCACCTTCCTAAAAATCTTACAAAATTCCTTTAATTCCGTGACTGAACCATTTCAAAAAATCCCCAAAGCCTTAATTCGATTTAATTCAAAACGGAAACAGAGAAGGTTGTTTTTTGTGATATTGTCAAATATTTTTAAGAAACCTGCATTACTAAATAAAAACAAGTTTGTTTTAATTTTTTAAATAGTATTTTTTATTACAATCATTTAAATATTTGTTCAGTTGTAGCTGTTTTCTTGCTATGTACCTTTTAAATTTCGTAGTTGAAATATTTTTTCGTTTCTTTTCAATCATAATTTTTAAATTGCTACATAATGTTGCTTATTCTAAACACTTGCTTTCTTTATAGCTTGCTTTTGTTCTTTTTGAGTGCTACCATATAGAATTTTCTTAGTTTTCGAGTCTGAACTGGCTAATTGCTAGGGCTATAATTTGTTTTATAAATTTTTGAAATCAGATTCGTTTCAGTATACAATGTTAGCCAACGCATTAAATGCAAATGTTTTTACTCATCGCTTACGAGCTCTGCAGAATTTCTTGGACTGCGGGTCGTGCATAGATTTTCTGCAGTTTTGGTTTAAATGGTTTTAAACATTTAGTATGTAATTTGTTACGCGGTATGAACTGGTTTTGTTTTTTTTTTTTGGAATGGCACATCAATGTGATAAAATTTGGCCTAAAACTGCACAAGTCTGCCTGGGGGACTTTAGACTACTTTTAGGCTATTTGGGATATGATAAGTGTTAAGTATTTTTACTTAGATGGCTAAATATTCAATTGGATTGGGCTCTTGGGTTTCGGGTAGTGGTTCGCTTGCGTAAGCCGATGTCCTTTGTAAATGCTATGACACACAGTATTACTTCACATGGCCTAACTGCTAACTCTAGGGTGTTGTACAACTATCACACTGTAATACACACTCTCACACGCACACACTAAACAAGCACTCCCACACTTAGACACCTAGCTATATACACGGGCCAGCTATTTACAAGGACCCCGGGCCCTACACCATGCCCTTGGACATCATGCGCACGGTGTTCTTCAGCGCCTGCCGCTTGTTGCAGAACCAGATGCGGATCACTTCGCGTTCGTAGCCGAGCTGGTGGGCCAGTCCGGTGATCTCGGTGCCTGTGGAGGGGAGGGGGTAGAGTCAAGGTTAAGGGGCGTGCCACTGGGTCGAGCTCATTGTAACTGAAAGTTACCACTCACCCGAAGGATGCGTGTTCCGCTCGAAGTGCGCGTTCAGCAGCTCCAGAGCCTGCGGCGTGAAGGAGGTGCGCCGTTTCCGCTTCTTCGACGGCTCCACGCCAATGTAGTCGGTGAGGTGGTTCTGCCCCGATTTGTAGCGGTTCCAGTGGCTAAATGGATAAGAGGATGGGAGAATCGAATGTTAGTGGATCCCGTGCCGGAATGGCGCCCAGCGAGGGCGAAAACGGCGCTGGAACTGCCTCCATACTCTCACCTCTCTTCGGCCTCCTTCATCCAGCGCTCCAGCACAGGCTTGATCTTCTGTGCGCTCTTTGGTGTGATGTCCAGCTTCTCGAACCTGCGGTTTTGGGTGGGTATGGTATGGAATTAGATCGCTGATCGCTCGAGCGGCTCGTGCAAGCCGGACATAACGCAAAAGAAACGTAACTAAAGTGCCAGGACATTGTCAATTAGCATTCTCTTTGGGTTCGGTACGCTCTTTCTTAATCGTTCAGTAGAGACATACATATGTAGTTCGTTTCATTTCGCTTCTGGTGAGCTGGTGCTCATTGGCAATGCCCTGGGCCAATTCTCGGAAGCGCATTCAAGCAAATTAAACGTGAAACAAAAGAAATACATGGCGAAATGAACAGGTTAATGAGCCTTGCACTTTAGTTAGGTTTCTCTTGGACTGCACACACACACACACGCACAGCACACACACAGTCACCCTCAAGGAGGCACACATACATGTTCTGCTGCTGCGTCGATAGTTGAGCGGCGTACATCTGCGCAGCGAGTGCACTGCTTGCATTCGATAGTTGGCATTTGTGATTCGATAGTGGGTATTCGACATTCGACATTCGGTATTCAGTATTCATTTTCGGTTTGCGGTGGGTGGCATTCGACATTCGATGTTGAGAGAGAGAGAGTTAGATAGAGTTGGCGTTTGAATCGAAAAAATAAACAAATAAAGTAAATAAAATTAATTTAGCATTTAATTGGTTTGTTGTCTGTTTTTCGTGGTTAATTTATCATTTTTTAGATTTGCTAGAAAATGTCCTGGCACTCTTCGAAAATTGGTTCCAGAAGTTTACGAAAAACAAATTAGGGAAACATAAATATGTGGACTTAAGCAAAAAATATTGTTGAGAAAAATATAATGAAACACGTTTGCTAAAAGGGAAAGGCAGCCGTAATGGATTTTTTTTCGCTTCTCCTAATGCTGATCACAGTTTTATTCTAATCACTTAACAAAAATAACATTGTCACAAGGATAATGCAACACTGAATAATTTTTCGACTCAAAAAGTCTTGACCTATGAAGATTTTCGGTGAATATTGTTAATAGTTTATACATAGCTGTCCTTCGTTGTTTTGAAATAATTACGGCTTAAAGTTCGAGTTAAAGAAAAGACTACTGGATTTATTTTTGAGGTATCCCTTGCTTAAATTCTAGACTCCAGCTCGTCCTTGCATATCTCACCTGCAGATGGCGCTCTGGCTGTAGGCGGGTCCTTCGGTCACCGACAGGGCCTGGCCGACCTGGGTTTGGGTGAGGCCCAGCGACAGGCGCCTCAGCTTGAAGGCCTTGGCGAACTCCTTAATCTCGTCCAGGTCGATGCCGTCCACCACGTTGGTGGTGGCCTGGTTGATGGTGGGTTCATCTGATGAGCGGAAGATGGAAAACAGATCCGGTTAGTGGAAAATCCCGTCACTGACAGTGATAAGTACATTAAGTCTAACTAATAAATGGAAAATTAGCCCTGCTATCCGGGGTAATTGCTGCCCTGTCGTGGTCTTAATTACAGCTAATTGCGGTAATGGCATAACATTATCTCAGTGCAACGCAGTACGGGTAAATTGATAAAGCACACGACGAAGACACCTGCCAGGTTGTTCTTGTCGTCGAGGCAAGTGCGAAACTCACGGCTTTTATCTGCCTAATTTGTTAGCAGGAGGAAGCCTTTCGGATGCAAACTACTCGCGTAGAATTTTGATTTATATATTAATGATATGCAAGACGGGGAAGAGAGGGGCTGCAATGCACCAACAACGGCAACTTCAACGGCAACTTCAACGGCAGCCTTGTGTTTTAGCGGTAATTAAGATGCGAGAACGGATTGGTGGCGGAGGATGGGGGATGAAGGCGGGGCAAAGGATCCTCTGGCAGAGTCCTTTGCGGGCCGTAACTCAAGCTGTCGTCGCAGCCCGCCTGTTGTTGTTTGCTGCAGCGTTTGAAATATGTCATTAAATGCGGAAGACATCTTAAGTTTTTGTATGCATCAATTAGTAGTAATTAAGCCGCATATTGTCTGCAATTTGTATGCGCAAACGATGCGATGTGGCAATCGAGACTGCTCGAGGTGGAAGCCATCCAATCCTGATGACTCGGCTCTAATGGGCACCGGGCTTGCCTTGATTTCTTGTCGCTGCCTGAGCTTGTGCTGATTGCATTTTTAATGCATCCAAAAGTTTCAATTAAGGCCTGTCGTTGTAGTTCGGGCCGGGGATCCAGTCAATTCAATATGCTCAAGCAAGAGACTCTCTCCTCGGGATTTGTGATGCCCGTAGCATAATCCGCCCTGAGCTAATCCCATCAACTCGGCTGACACGTCTTGGCCCCGAAACCTAATCCAATGCCGGAGATGTGGAGCGTGACAGCGTCAACGCCGCTGCTAATTTGCCTAACACTTTCGGTTGACATCTCTCAACTTTGGGCAATGCATTCTCGCAAGTTTTGTTTAGCTGCTCACCTAATCCCCGGCCCCCCGCCCCCAGAATGCTGCATCAATTATGAATCCCGCCCGTCGCAAGAAGTCGTGTAAATGCACGGCGAAACTTTTCGCGCACACACGCCAAAAGCGCTGGAAAACGGAATTGGCTGGGGGAGTTTCAAGTTGATTTTCTTTTGGAAAATTACATAAAGTGCAGTCAACTTGTTAGGGCTTTTGGCACTGCCAGCAAAGTTGGCTTTCGACGAAAATTTCGTTAATTAATGTTGCCCATAAAGTTGATACCCGTTCCGCGCCTTTGTGCGCATATCACTCATACGCTGTGTTGCACACGAGTGTGGCTCTTAAAATATCAAATCATCATCAGCCCACTGCGGACCCCAATTATACACGTACAACTGCGGAGGGCTCTCGAATCCAGGCCTCCGGCTCATTGGGATCACCACACGCTGAAGGATGCTTAGAACAGTTTCGGGAACATTTGTGTAGGAAATTAATGCTAAGCTAATTTGGGTGCTTTAAAGTTGGGATGCAAGCCGTTTGAAAGGGTGGATTTCGTTGGTTTATCAACTTCTATTCAAGAAGTCGGAATAATTAAGCAGTAAACTAAAATAAACCCAATTTATTTAAAGGTATAAAATGGTATTTAAAATGGATTCTACACTCAGATAATACACAAACAATGGTTCTAAGAAGGATAAACGTATTATAAATAATATATTTACCTTTTTTCAGTTTTATAAAATTACATTAAAGGTTGATAATAGTGTTTGATTCAACGGTTAGTTTCAGTGTCGGCTTGCCTCCCAGCTCTACGGTATTTAAATGGAAGAAAGAATCGATCTTTACTCACTCGGAGAATCCATGAGCAGGTCGTTGTCGTTGTCGTTTCCATTTGGCGACAGGTGCGGCGGTTCGCTGCGCGACGAGGGACTCAGTTTGAGCGGCTGCATGTGGGAAACACTCGACGAGGAGGGACCCGGACCCGGGGAATCCTCCCGAGGCGAGGCGGAGGAGGCCCTCGTGGCCGTGGCCGTAGGTGCTCCCAGGGATTTCGTGATGGTCAGCTCGCCGTTGGAGGCACTGAGTCTGCAAGGGGGTGGTGAGAAACAACTGCAGAACACGGCGATCGAGTCGAACCCACCTGTTGATGCTGCTAAGTACGTTGGCCGTTGCACTGGACCCCGCCCCCGTGGGCGCCCCGCAACTGCTGGTGGAGGTCGCCGCTCCGGAACCGGGCCCGTTGCCCAGGTAGTCCCGCTCCAGACGCGGCGACCCGCCCAGCGAGAGGGCGTGGCCCTGGGGCGAGTGCGTGCGGAACAGCGGGGAAGTGTAGCCTCTGTCGCTGATGCTGTTGGCCGCCGAGCTGCAGGGGGCGGAGCCGGGCGGCGAGAGGCGTCCGGAGGGCAGGCTGCCCCCGTGGTGACCTCCACCCGAGCTGGACGAGACGCTGGCCCTGGTGGCCGTCGCCGTGGGTGTGTGCGAGCGCCGTTCGAGCCGCTCCTGGCGCTCCAGTCGCTCCAGCCGCTCGTGCCGCTCGTGGTGCTGGCTGAGATTCATCCCGGTGGCCGCTGGCCCACCGTTCCCGCCCATCCTGCTCTGCGGACTATGCTTGGGCGACACCGTCGAGGAGCCGCGCAAACTGTGCCCGAAGTGGTGACGCGGCGGCGGCGCCGGCGGCGAGTTACTGGCACTCAGCTCCAGCGGCTTGAGCTCCATCTGCGGGGCGGTCAGCTCGTCCGGATGCCGCAGGCTGATCTGGGGCAGCGAGGCGGAGACCGCCGAACCCGACTGCGGCTGCAGGTGGTGGTGCAGGTGCGTCTGCGTCTCGGGCTTGATGTGCAACTGCTGCTGCAGCAGGAAGGCGGCTGCGGGGGGCGGCGGGGGCGGTCCCTTGCCGGGCAGTCCGGGACTTCCGCCCGTGGGCGAGCCAGCCGTGGGAGAACGCTCCGCGGAGCGTCGTAGATCGGCGGCCAGGTGCGAGTGCGGCAGGTGACCAATGCCCAAGTGCTGCTCCCTCTCCCTCTCCCGCTCCCGTTCTCGTTCCCTTTCCCTCTCCCTTTCCCTTTCCCGCTGATGCTGCTGCACCTGCTGCTGCTGCTGCTGTTGCTGCTGCTGCTGATGTGTTGCAGCTGCGGCGGCAAAGAGCTCCGGGTGCAGAGCTGTCAGCAACTGCTGCACGCCCGTGGAAAAGAGATTGGGCTTCAGTAAATTCGTGGGTGTCTGGGCCAACTGGGGCAGGGCGGTGGCATGTTGCAGGGCTGCCAGAGATGGTGGCAACAGGTCTCGCTGTTGCTCGCGATGTTGCTGCTGCTGCTGTTGCTGCTGCTGCTGGTAGCTCGCAAAGGCCCCGAATGCGTTGGGCAGAAACTGCTCCGTGGTGGGAATCTGCGGACTCACCGGAATGGTGAGGATGGTCTGAACGGCGATGCCTAGAAGAAATACACAACAGATTTTCGTTTTATCTTGTTTGGAGATTATGCTGACTTAAAAAATCAATAATTTCTAGGTATCATTATCAATTTTGAGAATAGTAACTTAAGTCCCATTATTTTTAAATTTTTTTTAAATGTCTGAACATTACTGCTTTTATCTTATCGAAAAATATAATACTAAAATATCTAATTTAAAATAATTTGTATGTTTTCCATTTAAAAAATAAATAGATTCTGTTTACCAAAATCTTAATACACTCAAAAACCTAAACTAAAAAATAAATTGTACTAATAAGGGATTATTTAAAAAGAAAACATAATTCTGAATTCGTTATTTTATGACTTATAATAACCAAAAGTTAATAGTTTTACGGTCCCCGAAAAACTTGTATTTGCATCATTTTACTAGTTCTTATAAAATGATCCAATTAGGCTAAGCAAAAACTATTACAAAAAAAAGAAAACAAATATAAATATGAATCTTTAACCATAGTTCTAGCTCCTAATGCCAAGCATCGCATTATTCGTTTTATCAGGATTACGTCGAGTCATTTCCCCCTCCCGCGAAGAGAGGAAATTGAAAGTTTCCCTAATCGCTTTATGAGCTTTACAATGCCCGTGACTCCGCCAACCACGAGATGCGCTGGAAGTCAAGCCAAGTCAACTATGCTATTGATACCCAGACGCAGTGGTGGGAGCAGGACGAAGACCCAACGCCAAGCTAAACACACTCACCTTGGGCCGTGGGGATGAGCAGCTGGGCGCCCTGGACGCCCTGCACCAGCTGCCCGGAGGCGAGAATGAGCTGCGGCATCTGGGCGCTCGCCGGCGGCGCCTGCAAGGTGGGCGGGGGCGAGGCGGTGGCCGCCGCCAGGACATTGGCCAGCGAGGAGGCGCTGAGGGGGTGGTGCGGCGAGCTGCTGCTGCTGGGATTATCCGGCGGCTGCTGCTGTTGTTGGGCGGAGTTGGCCCCCGAGTTGGCTGACGATCCGCCGGAGTGGTTGTTGCCCGCACCCCCGCCCTTGGCCGTCTTGCTCTTGCCGCCACTGTGGGTGGGCGAGGCGGGCGCCGCCGCTCCCGATGCAGTGGTTGCGGCGGGCTCACCGCCTACGCTCAGGTTCAACGGCGAATTGAACACGGAGGCGGCTAATCCTTGAAGACTTGCTAGTGCTGCGGCCGTGGCGGGGTGGTGATGATGATGCTGGTGCCCATGATGCGGATGTGGATGCGGATGCTGCTGCTGCTGCTGCTGTTGTAGCGTGGCCAAATTTTGTAATTTTTGCAAATTTATCATGTCTTGCACTGTGGGATTTGAACAAGAGTCACACAAAATGTTGTCATTAGTTTTTGTTGCAAACTCTTTGCCGAATTAGTGGTGGGGACGGGAACGGGGAGAGGGTTGGGATTGCCTGCCAGTACTAATTGCCAGTTTACTTTGGACCGGGCCGGGTTTTCGGGGATAAATGGCTGTGTCGGTGCGGAATTCAAGGATGGAAACTCGCTGTGCAAAGAAGTCTTAGATAAATTATAGAAAATTAGTCTGAGGGAATTAGAGCGTTAAATGTAAGTGCAGCCAAATAAGAATGGCCGTAAATTGTCGACTAACCAGAAACAACATATATTTTATTTCTCTGTTGTTAGTCTAAACTGGTAATTGATTCTTACCTATTTTAGATTAATAAGTACCCTATCCATACAAATATTTATATTAATTATATAAATGATTATTTTTTTTATTTTTTCAAAATTGAATACGATTTTTAATAATATTATATAATGTTATATACAGCCAAATATAGTTGTGTGGCGAAATGGAAGGTAAAACATTATACATCTTAGCTCATCGTTTTTAATTATCTACCACAAAAATTGGCTTAAATTTTTTGCATTAATTTTTCTTGAATAAATTCAATTAAAATGTATTACATATCCTACAAATGTTTAATTCATATTAACAAGCAATTACTGTTCAAGGAAAGCCAATCAGATATACGGCTTTAATAGGGAAAGTCCTTCTCCCAGAAATTTAGGTCTTGCTAATGTTTTTATCAGTAAATATGGAACACATCCTGCACTTCCAGCTACAAACAGGAACAAATTCTTAAAAATCCTTACAAAGAAAATGTAATACACATAATTAGATTCGTAAAAGAAACAAATATATACAAACAAATATGTATAATTCTAACCATCTTTAAACAAACGCATTCGAAGGTACTATGCTCTTTTAGGTTAGCTTCAGTTTTATAAACTATTCTATCGTTTATAATAGATAAGATAAATTAAATAAAAGCCCACAAGAGGTGTCACGTAAAAATCACTGGATTATACTTTTTGGGTTTAGAATTAAAATAAGTAAAGAACCAGTTTCCATCCTTGTGAGTAAATCGTTTGCTTGTGTGGCTGTTTGGCTTTCGATATGTACTCACTAGTTCCGTTCAGATGGGCGGCAAACGCCTTGGCCTGCGCCTGCTCCTCGCGCCGCATCCGCAGGACCTCCGCGGCCTGCTCCTCCGCCTCGCCCTCCCCCTCGCCCTCGTTCTCGTCCTCCTCGCCGTCGATCTGCATGGGCAGCGGGATTGGCAGCGGGAGGGGCAGGGGCGGCGAGGAGTGCTGGTTGGCCAGGGAGGCGGCCTTGGCCGCTAGATTCTTGTAGAACTCCAGCTCCTTGACGTGATCCTTGCTGTCGAATGGGGAGTGGGAGTGCGAGTGCGAGGGGGGCGGGGGCGAGAGGAGGACGTGGCCGTCCGTGATCTCCATTTCATCGTCGTTGTTGTTGCTGCGGCTGCTGTGGTGGGGATGGTGGTGGTGGTGCTGGTTGTGGTGCAGGGAGTGGGCGTGGCTGCTGCTGCTGGGCGAATGGATCTTGTGGCAGCTGATCTCCTTGTCGAAGTCCTGCAAAAAGAAGAAAAGCGTAATTAATTGGTTGGCCAGGAGATGTGTTTTTATCTCATTTTCTTCCCAATCAGCTGAGCAACTGCACTAAGAATAATACCTTTTTCCCAAATAAAAATATAAAGTGAATTCCTCTGACTTGTAAAGGATTTAATTCTGATTTGATCATCGTTTAGAGCATTTTTCTGGGTAGAAATCACATCGACCCTCTGGCTAAATTCAATTATATTTCTGCAATTAATGCAATTGTCGATTGTTCAGCAGAAATCCATACCCAAGAGCTAATGACGAGTCCTGAGTCCCCGTTCATTGTTTGCTGATTGGATTATATATTAAGCGATGACATTTTCGGACTCGTATTACATTTCATTTGTGTCAGTCGAGGCGACACATACATGGGGCGTGTTAATAAGTTAATTTAATTTTTGTTGTAATTGTCAGCGCACATTTATTGTTTGGCATTTTGATCTGGCCGCGCGGATGAGCTGGTCAATTTATGCAAATTTAATTGGTTGCAATTGTTGCGATTCGAGGGGGCCAAAAGAGGTTTGGGAAAAGTATCAATACTTGCTTGATTAGTAGTTGAAATAATCCTGTGGTGTTATTTGCCTCTTTAAATTACATTTTTCGAACGGCATTTAATTTAAGGTGTGGGTCGAACAACCGGCTCGGAGAAGAAATCCACGGAAAATGGGTGGATAGGTAAACCAATATAATTATTGGCAATTAATGCTGGCGACGGCAAATGCGCTTAGGGCGGGGGATGCGGGGCGGAACATTAATGCCAGGACAAACGAAGCAGGACCCTTCTTTGCGACGTGGCGGAGCTTCAATTAAATTTTATTTGCATAGGAAATTAACATAATTGTAGTGCAAAATACCGACCCAAAAAAAAGAGAAGAAAAAAATGGAGAAATCGGAAAAAGGAGCGACCAAAAGAAAAGCAATAAAAATAAGCAGTAAACGTGACGGCAACGAAGGTAAAGTGTTAAAAAAAATATTTATGCAAATAAATAGAAATGTTTGGTGGGTGTTGCAAGTGCGGCAATTAAATGGAATTCCTGCTGGCCGGCCAATAAGGATTTTAACACCCAAACGGTGAAGGACTAACTGAATATCTAACGTAGGATCCCCCGTAAATCTATCAATCATCTAACTAACGAACACTAAAAGAGTAGACGTTAATTAAAGCACTTGATAAATTTCAATGCAACGTGCTGCAAATTCATTAAAAATTGACATTTATTGGTGCCGTCACCAGCACAACAGCAACTACTTAAATAGTGGCGGAAAAAATAGAAGAAGGTCCTGCCAGGACGAACCAAGTTAATGTCATTGAACAGCAAATCGAACTAAATTTATGACACGCCGAGAACGAGAGTGTATGAAAAAGGAAAAGAAACTCGGAGCTCCGGCAACATTAATGTCCTGCGAGTGTCCCCGTGTTTTTTACGTTTTGCTCTGGCTGTGTGTGTGTGTGTGAGTGCATGTCCTTTATGCAAACAGGCGGCAAACAGACGGCCGCTGACAGCCACTATGGCCCACACACACACAAGTAGTTGGGCGTCCACTGATGTGCAATGAATTAACTTTTCAACATATTTACTCACGCTCAATTGAAAGGACTCCGGTGTGACTGTGTGTGTGAGTATCCCTACGGCAGCCGCATTGACGCTAAAAGTTGAAGAACAAAAAGTGGCCACCATAATGAGCCGCTGACGCTGTCGCCCGGCTTTTGTTACCGGCAGTTCTATTTTTGTAGCCTCGCAAATGAGCGGAAATTAAAAACTGATTTAGCATTGGGAAGCCAAAAGGATGGGCTTTCCCACTCGCTGGATTCTAAAATAATACAAGGGTGGCGGAACAGAGTGGACATAAAGCAGTGTTCCTGCTTTCAGTAGATGCATAATTGAATATGTTCGATTCAGACATAACAAAATAGGTCAAAGCCAAACAAATTTCATTAAATTTTTTTGTTCAGGGATCTTCTACTAATAATCCCTGATACTCTGCCTTCTTGTCACCAATATAAGATTGTAAAAAAAATGTTCATTGCCTTGTTCCAAGTAAATTTTGGTAGCTACTTTCTACATTCGAAAAGGAAAGAGGGGAGCGGAAAGCTACTTAAGACTCCTTGTTGATTCACCACTGACTCAAATACTGTGACTAACATAGTTTTTCCAAATTACTCTTGAGAAGTTTTAGTAAATACCTGAATAATTAAAGAAAAAATGATAAATTGGAATGAAAAGATGTATTTTTTAAGAACTTTTTAATATAAAGATATTTGTCATTTTAACATTCGGAGACGCAGATAAAGAAGGAAGCCATTTATATTGCCTACCAAATAGGTAAAAAGTGTACACCCTGTTCCCCCGGACATTCGGCAGATTCAGATTCGGACAGTGGAGCCCACTTAAAGCCACCCAACAATCGGCTGGGCATCAACGTTTTCCCTTCGGTTGCTATTTTTTGCTGTTTTTGTTGCGCCACCGTCAAATGAAAATAAGTCAAAAAAATAGAAAATGAATTGAATTATTGCAAAGAGCAAGAGATGCTCGCCGCTGGGGTGTGGGAAATGTGGAATGTGGAAAGGGGGTGGTACTGGGGGGTTGGGGGGTTGGGCAGCGGGCACTTGACAGCCTCGAATGTGATAAGCAAAAGCCCGGCGCGAAATGGAATACGCGATGGCAGCCTTTGCTTTTCTTCTTATTATGCTTCTGCACCTCTCTCCCTCTTCGAGAGCCCCTTCGCCATGTTGCCTTCTCTTTCTCCGGCACTCGCCCCGTCTCTTTCGCTGTCTGTGTTTTTTATGTAGCATGCTTTTGAGCGCGACGCGAAATTATAATTCACACATGTGACCAACCAGGAGAGTGGGTGGTGGGCGCTGGGTGCTCGGCCATTTGCCAGTGGGTGGTGGGGTGGTTGGGGGCTGGGTGGTGGACAGTAAAAAAATGCAATTGCCAAAAAGTAGCCGGCAAAAAGAAAGCGAAAACGAGGAGCAAGTCGACGTCGTCGAACGGTTGCGTTGCTTGTTTGCTTTAATTGCAAATGGCATTTTTTCCCGGGGAACGAGGATGGGAGTGGGTGTGGGTATGGGTATGGCTATGGCTATGAGGATGTGGAAACGGCGGACATACACGTTACAAGCTGACCAGCTCCAACACAGGGAGGCTGGCTCATAAATTGTCGAAAAATATTTGACTTGTTCTATTTTTGGTCACCCCAGGCCCATCCAGCACACAGCGCCTGCTGCGGCCAGCAATATGCTTCGGCAGCACCCCTTTTCCCTTTTCCCACTTTCCCAGCCCCCGGAAAACATTTATGAGTTCGGTGGCAGGGGGAGGTGAGCTGGGGCCTTGCACTTTTGCATATTTAATGCTTTGTTTAATGCAAATGCACATAATTTCATCACTGACAGTGCGAGTGTGTGTGTAGTTTTCTTTCGTGCTTTCCTTTTGCCGAGATGCGAAAATATTTTTCAATTAATATTTATGTTGCTTTATGTGCCTGAATTGATAATTTCCCCATTGGTGACTCGAAAACGAAGCCGAATTGTTTGCTAAAACTGCTTCGGAGTTGTGGTTTGCGGTGCGATGATGAAATTCTATATCGATGGCTGTAGCTTAGGAAAGCGGTCCTAAAAATGATACGTGCGATTGTAATATCCTGTGGTCTATACTCATTCACATTTAGTTGAATTAATTAAACATAATAAACCATCTGTATACAAATTGAAATTGTCATTACTAATATTAGATATGCCATTTATAATTATTATGTTTGACAATAGTTAAGTAATTAATTTACTTTAGTTAAAGTAATGCCAGCAAACTCATATTTAATATTGTTGCTTGACAAAAGATTTCATATCACTCTTCTTAGCTATGTTAGTTATTTATTATAACAAACTGAATACATTCAAATAATGATATATTTATATTACCATTTGGAGTTCGAGGAAGAAGTAATGATGATGACAAAGCTTGAGATCAGACTAACATGTATCTTTCTGTTTCGATGCCTCCATTTAAGCTCTGTCAAACAGCAACCCACCATTCGCGCCATCAACTCTCTAAACAAAAATAGAAAAGGGCCATCTATTTTTCATGTGACGAGGCGATTTCTTGCGCAATTTCGCCGGAACTCACGCAGTGTCGATAAGGGTATAAGCTGCACCTGCAGGCGGAAATCCAATTCGCACCCACCACCCACTGGCGACAAACAAAAGCTGCACGCTGCAGACATTGCAATTTCGCCGAGAATTCGAATGCTTTTCTATATATGTATATATAGACCGGCATATACCGGCACGTGGGCATGTATCGTCGATATCGGCACGGCTTTATGTATGTATTCCAGTGGACCTTCCTTATATGGACAGAGCGCAGCTGACAGTCGCATGGCGAATGAGCGAAAGAAAACAAAAACGAAACAAAACAACAGCGAAGCGCAAAAACCAAAACAAAAATGTGTAAAAAATGATGGACGATGGGCGGCGAGCGGCGGGGCGACGAATTGGAAAATGGAGCAAAACAAGAGGTGGAAAAAACGAGGGGCAGGATCCGGGGGTAGATTCTGCCGGTCCATCAGCAGCAGGAGCAACAGCAGCAACATCAATGGGCGCGCCACTCAATCAACCCCACTTGGGTGGCAGTGGGTGGCTCGTGGGCGGGTGGTGGCTCTGCTTGACAACAATGAAGGCCAAGCATTGTCCAGGACTCCGGGGACCACTCGCCCAACCCCCGCGCACTGTGTGTTTGTGTGTTTGTGTGCTCGAGCCTGTCCCAATTTTTTTACGTTTTTCCGTTTACTCCATTTTTTCCACTTTTTGTGTGCCTTTAATTTTGCTTTCCTCTCCCTCCATCGTTCGTTGGTAATTTTTTACGGCCCGGTCGCCTGCTACAACTTTCTGACTGCTTGGTCGCTGGTCAGCCGCAGTTATTCTTTGGGGGAGAAATTCTGCAGCGGTCACTGGTCACCGCTCTGGTCAAATGAAT